ACGTGTGGAAAGCGAAACTAAACTGGAGGAATGTCTCCTTCTGGAGTTTGGAAACTAAAACGCAGTTGTATTGCTTATGGATTATCAGAAATAATTTCAAAGAAGGCACAGACACATAGGATGAACCTATGGATTAACTGCAGCATCGTTTTTTTATCGTTTTAATGCCATTGAAGACCACTTTTGACCAAGGTAAGCCATATTTATATGTTTAGCTTCTTGGCTCCACATGTGATGATGTACGCTTTCGTTGATAGCGTCGCGAATGTTTATCACTGAGTGTTGAGGTGGGCACCGTTAGATTCAGTGTCTCCAGGACACCAAAAAATAGTGTTTGGTTGTGCATCTAGGATAAGTAATAAGGGAGTTCTGAGTGAGTTTATGTGTCTTTGTCGGTCCCGTTTTTTCGATCGAGGCTAATTCAGAGGCTGAGTGCTAGCATTGTGGGTTTTTTTTGAAAAAAAAAATTAAAAAGATCAGTTAGCTGAGTTTCTTCCCGTTACATGGATATAACACATTCATAGTTTTATTCAATATTAAGATTCCTTAGACGTTGTTTCCTGCAAATGACGCGTTTATCCGCCCGGTACCGGGGGGAAGGCGTGAAACAGGTTAAACATGTATTTCTGAGACGTCTTACTTTATGATACTGAAGTCGTTTTTATCAGCTGTTAATCAGTAACAGGCCGCCTGTAGACAGATTCAGACTCTGACCCCCCCCCCCCCCCCCCACTAAGTGAGCTGTAAGCAGGTTTCAAAGAGACTGAACGGGCTGACCCTTGGTACTGCAACAAAACCTCTAACAATAAAACTAACAACACACAATTCCTGGAAACAAGATAAGGTTTGACGGAAAAAAACTGAAATATCTTCTGCTGTGACTGATGCAGAGAGACAGAACAATAAACCCAACTTCTGAGAAACTGTTTGTTAGCAGAGTTCATCTATCTGTGCTCTGTTTGTTCCACGGTGGTGATGTACAGGATGATATTTACTATACAGATGTTTCTATTATCTCTGATCCTCTAATGCATATGTAAATAAAGGAGACACAAAACGAGAACAGCAGCCTAACCCTAAAGTCATCTAAACTAGTCTAACCCTAAGGTCATCTGAACTAGTCTAACCCTAAAGTCATCTGAACTAGTCTAACCCTAAAGTCATCTGAACTAGTATAACCCTAAAGTCATCTGAACTAGTCTAACCCTAAAGTCATCTGAACTAGTCTAACCCTAAAGTCATCTCAACTAGTCTAACTCTAAAGTCATCTGAACTAGTCTAACCCTAAAGTCATCTGAACTAGTCTAACCCTAAAGTCATCTGAACTAGTCTAACCATAAAGACATCTGAACTAGTCTAACCCTAAAGTCATCTGAACTAGTCTAACCCTAAAGTCATCGGAACTAGTCTAACCCTAAAGTAATCTGAACTAGTCTAACCTTAAAGTCATCTGAACTAGTCTAACCCTAAAGTCATCTGAACTAGTCTAACCCTAAAGTCATCTGAACTAGTCTAACCCTAAAGTCATCTGAACTAGTCTAACCTTAAAGTCATCTGAACTAGTCTAACCCTGAGTTATCTGAACTAGTCTAACCCTAAAGTCATCTGAACTAGTCTAACCTTAAAGTCATCTGAACTAATCTAACCCTGAGTTATCTGAACTAGTATAACCCTAAAGTCATCTGAACTAGTCTAACCCTAAAGTCATCTGAACTAATCTAACCCTGAGCTCTCTGAACTAGTATAACCCTAAAGTCATCTGAACTAGTCTAACCCTAAAGTCATCTGAACTAGTCTAATCCTAAAGTCATCTGAACTAGTCTAACCCTAAAGTCATCTGAACTAGTCTAACCCTAAAGTCATCTGAACTAGTCTAACCCTAAAGTCATCTGAACTAGTCTAACTCTAAAGTCTTCTGAACTAGTCTAACCCTAAAGTCATCTGAACTAGTCTAACTCTAAAGTCATCTGAACTAGTCTAACCCTAAAGTCATCTGAACTAGTCTAACCCTAAAGTCATCTGAACTAGTCTAACCCTAAAGTCATCTGAACTAGTCTAACCCTAAAGTCATCTGAACTAGTCTAACCTTAAAGTCATCTGAACTAGTCTAACCCTAAAGTCATCTGAACTAGTCTAACCCTAAAGTCATCTGAACTAGTCTAACTCTAAAGTCATCTGAACTAGTCTAACCCTAAAGTCATCTGAACTAGTCTAACCCTAATGTCATCTGAACTAGTCTAACCCTAAAGTCATCTGAACTAGTCTAACTCTAAAGTCATCTGAACTAGTCTAATTCTAAAGTCATCTGAACTAGTCTAACCCTGAGTTCTCTGAACTGAAGTCCACATGTCCTTTAGCTCTGTAGTATTGATCTCATCTCTGTGTCTATGTTCTGCTCTCAGTGTGACGTACCAACAGGATGAGTGTCAGCTTCATCCAAACTGTTGTTGTTTCCTGTGAGTTTTGTTCCAGCGATGCAGTGAACACAACACATGAGTACAGCAGCACCTCTACTGTTCTCAGTCTAACTGCTGACACACACATGATGAAAGCTGCTCTTACCTTCTGAAGAGAATCTGCTGATGAGTGACGGTGAAATGAATCAGTAGCTCCAAGCAGAGACAGAACTAACATGTAACTCCCAGCAGGTCTCCACAGCTCTGTTGATTCACATACAGTCTATCTCTGTGTGTTCATCTCCAGCTGAAATATGATGAGCTCCTCTGAACTCTGGAACCAACGAGCTGGAGCACCTCAGGTCAAACATTAACACACTTTATTAAACATTATCATCCTGATCATAAAGGTCTGCAGTTTTATCCTCAGAGACTTTGATTTTACAAAAATGGAAATAAAAAAGCGGCAAGGTGCTGTTTCTCTGGCGGCTGACAGGCGCAAACAGCCCAGAACACCTAGGAGATTAGAGATGGTGCTCCGGGTCCAGGGAGACAGCAAACACTTGAAGCGAGGCTGAATCCTGGCCCCCAACTCCCCACCGGATACATCTTTCACTCCAGGAAGCTCTGGGAAATATTATCCACCAGGGCCAGAAAAGGATATCAGCAGTGGCGACTGGTCATTAGGGGCAGGTGGGGCACAGCCCCAGCTAGTGTCAGTAGAAAGTATTACTAATAATGATTACAAAAGATGCAAAAAAAAATAAAAAAAAATATAAAATATATTTTAAGATCATGGTTAATCATCTGATTCGTCTGTACATTGCTGTTTTAGTCTGTGTTCTTCTAATTAGTGTCTACAGTGAGTGCCTATTGAGCTGTTTAGAGCCATGTGGGACAAAACCTGATCATGCCCCTCCCTCTCACTGTCTAAGTGAACGGTGACTGTAAAAACTACACTGCGCATGCTCAGAGTATTTTCCTATTTAATGTGTGTGGCAAAAAAATAATGACCATAGGGGCACTGAACTGCCATCCCCACCATACGTCATATCACATCATTCAGAGCTGATTGGCTGTAAGTACGTGTGCCGCGAAAAGTGTGGTGTGTGAAGAGGAGACGAGAGAGCTGCAGTGACGCGTCCTAAAACCAGGAAGTAAGCTGCGCATGGCTTCCCTCCACAAAAAAGCAATGAGATTTCTCCATAGGATTTTAGAAAATAGCTTGAAATAAGATCTGTGGGAAACGTACCTGTTAGATAAATGCACGCTTTGTTCAGCCGGATAATATCCACATGCCTACCCTACTTTTATAATTTTTGAATTATAAATCTATCGATTATATTTATGATAGACTTTTGAAACTACAAGAAGATAGGAGGACTTTTACAAAAAAGCTATAGAGATTTTTGTCCAGAAGGATATAGGCAAATGGACTTCATCTTCAAGTCAAGGTAAGACCACAATTTGATCGAAAATGGGATCTTACTAAGAGAGAACAATTCAATATTTAAATGATAAAATTACATTTTTTGGGTATCCTTTTGTCGAACTGTTTGTTTAAAATTAATCGAAGCATCAGACAAAAAAAGCTTTTGAAAATAATATTATATTTTGGTTTAGGTCAAAATATAATATTTGTAAACCTGAAGAGTCAGTGCCAGTGCCTCAGCAGCCATGAACCTCACTGCACGTCACTGCAGAAGCTTATAGACATCTAAGTTTGTTGTGCCCCACCACTTTTGTACATATAAAAACGCCACTGGATATCAGACATGTAAAACACGTGCCCCAGGTTTACTTCTTGAAGATAGTTTAATTTATGAAACAACAGACAGAATACAGCTTTGTTTTGAGGTTGAGAGAACAAGTTAAAAGTAAATCGTATCAAATAAATGTCTTCCTTCTGCATTTTATATAAAGACTACATGAATCCACCCTATAAATGATGAATGCAAGTAATACATAGGTATTTAAGGTGATTTAATCTATTTCACATTTGCTCCTTTTCCTTTCCAATTACAACCAAAAGCAACACTTATCAGATTAGGTTAGACAGAATAATGATTTTTGAAGTTTAAGTGGACGGTGGTGTGTTCAGGGACTCTTCTGTTGAGCGCATTTCCAGATGTTTCTGAATATTCTGACAATTTTAAAATTATGTCTTCTTTCAGAAAATTCAGAAAATCTAAAAACTGCATTTTTCCTAAAAATTCTGACTTTTTATTGAAAATAAAAAATTCTGTATTTATATTGAAAATAAAAAATTCTGTATTTTTTCTGACATTCTGAAAATTAAAAAATTCCGACTAAATAAATGTGTGACTCGTTTCTGAGTTTACAGATAGCTCAACCTGACCTGGATAAAGTGATAATAAACTAGATCTTAGATTATTTTCTGTATTTATTTTATTCACTGAAAAGTTGTGGTGTTAAAATATTCGTCTTGTTTATTCAGGACGCTGAGTAGAGAGTCTGAGGTCAGCTTGAAAAAACAGCTGGTACATTTTTTTATGTAAACAGATGATTTTTAGGAAACTTTAATCTTTGTGTTCGCCGCCCGGCGGTGGGTTTCCTTCTCAGGTTGATTTCACTTTAGGAAGTCTTGAAGACGTCAGGAAAGATTAAAGATGCAGCAGGTGTTTGTGTCTCGCGTTAAAGCCCTCGGGTTCGTCTCGTGACGGAGCCAGTGCTCATGATAGTGCCAATGGGGAACCTAATGAAGAACCTCTAGGGAACCGGAGGATTTTCAGAGTGGACCTCCGGAGATGTTCCCGGCGTCCTCACATCGTGAAGGACGAGCCGTTCTCACTGGACACGGAGCGGCGGGTGGACACGTAGATCTCGGAGGTGACCCTGGAGAAGCGCTGGGGCCGGATGTACCTCTTCCCCAGGCACCACAGGTCCTGCACAATCCTCCGGAAGTGGTTCCTGAATTTCACCCCGACGAAGGCGTACAGCACGGGGTTCAGGCAGCAGTGCAGGTAGGCCAGGGTCTGCGTCACCGTCTTGGCTGTCTTCAGGAAGTCCACGTCCTCGCAGCTCTGCATATTGAACATGCTGGCGGTGTCGTACAGCAGCGTGAGGTTGTAGGGCAGGTGGCAGACCACGAACACCGCCACCACGGCCAGCACCACGCGCACTGCCTTGTGTCGCTGGAAGTTCCTTGCCTTCAGCAGCGTGCCAACAATGGCGCTGTAGCAGAAGACCATGATGAGCAGCGGCAGGGAGAAGCCCACGGCCAGCTGCATGCTGGGCAGCGCCACCTTGGAGGTCAAAGCCTCGGTGGAGTCCATGAACCTGAGCTCGCAGACGTACTCCGTGCCGTCGGTGCTGTTCCCATCCTCCTCGTCCATGAAGGAGTCCCTGCTGTGGGTCGGCTGGTACCGGCTGTAGAAGTAGAAGGAGGGCACGGACAGCAGTACTGCGAGCGCCCACACGGCGGCGCAGATGAGGCGACTGTAGGCCAGCGAGCGCAGTCTGAAGCTGCGGCGCGCCTGCACGATGGCCACGTAGCAGTCGCTGCTGATGCAGGCGAGCAGCAGCGTGCCGCTGTACAGGTTCACGCTGTAGGAGCCGCGCAGCAGCTTGCACACCACCGGACCCATGGACCACGCCGTCAGCTCGTTGTAGACGATGAGCGGCAGCGAGGCCACGAACAGCAGGTCGGCCACCGCCACGTTCAGCAGGTACACGTCCGTCATGGACTTGGTCCTCTTGTAGAGGGCGTAGGTGAGGATCACCAGGCTGTTGCCCACCAGGCCCAGGATGCAGATGATGGAGTGAACGTACGGCCCGACGACCAGCTGCACACTGTGGTTGTTCTGCGGAGCACACGGAGAGACCAGGTTGTAGTCTGTGTAGTTGTAGTCCAGATACGATTGGTTGGACATGTCCTCCAGAGAGTAATCCATCTTCTGCTGCTGTGGAGAGACAGAAGAAGACATCCCACTGAGAACCATTTACTACATGTTTGTGTTTCTGACTTTCTTTAAAGAGTCACTCTGTGTTCTACAGGAGTTAGTGCATGTGAACACTCACGCTCCTATTGGCTAGCGCTCCTACACATTGTACCGATAGGCTAAGGGGCGGGACATCTCTAAGCTACAAAATATCCCACACAACTGAACTGCGCTCAGTAACCATTCAACAAAACGTATTTGTTAGGTTTAAAAAATATATAATTGTTTGGCTTAAAATATGTACGTTAATTACATGAAAGCAGTTACGGACTTTAAAGTGGACCTATCATGCTATATTTGAATAATATATTGTAGGACCATACCTATATAAGGCATATTTATACTTTTTTTTTTTCAAAATACCAAACAGATCATGCATTTTAGCCATGCCTCATTTCACTCAATTTGACATTTTTTTGCTCTGTTTTTGCAAGGGTTGATTCTGTGAGAACAGCACCACCTACAGGCCTGGCATATGTACTACAGCGTCTCCAGCGCTTTCGAACGGCAATGGCCGTGGCTGTCTCCTCCTGATTGGTGGAGTTGGCCCAATAGCCGTAGCGCCACCGTCCTGACGTCAGGACAGTGTTCAAATCTGGATCAGTTTTTATCAGATCCGTTGCAGCCCCTTTTTTAGAGATTTGGGTATGGAGGAAAATAGAGAGCGTTGTGTTTTCTGACACTTGGTGAGTTCCCTGGAACACCGGGGACACATATTCATGTAGAAAAGACGTACAAAAGTGCATTTTGCATGATAGGTCCCCTTTAATTAAAACGAGGTCTTTTGTGAACTGATAAGAAATGTGTTTTTGATATATCATTGAAAATAGGAAAAACAAGTTCCCTCATAACTAAATTACAATGAGGTTCAAATCTAGGGGAAGAATATTTTTGAAGTTTGATATAATCTCCCATTTACTTTTCATGCAAATTTTTTGTATAGCCCAACATATATATCAAAACATGTACTGTTATATATGTTTTTCGAATTTGGGCAATCTAGTCCCAGATGTATAATCTAAAACTTAAATTTTTTTTTTGACATTTTCAAGGCTCTTCAGTGAAACCAGGTCAGTGTTGGAAGATGGGCCCTTCACACCCCTTCCCTTATTCAGATTATTAAGAGTTAGACATAAAATCAGTCACGACTTGTTAGAGCGGGTTCTGACACGCCCTGCATTTTGCTCTGATGAAGAGAACTCAGAGAATAATCTGCAACTCATTCTACCTGAAACACTGACAACAGTACATGGAGATCTTTCTAAACTCATTCTGCTTTCACTCAGAGAGAAACCCTACACAATATTTCAGACAGATGTTCAAACAGACCCTGGGTATGTTTGAGTTATTTTAACAAACACTAACAGACGAGATCTCGCTAAGTGGTCCTACGACGCTGGTTATCAACTCAGTAAATCAACCAGGGTTTCACAAACATGGACAAGCGTACTGACAGCGCAGCGTCATACTTCATGATTGAATAGTAAACTATCATGTTAGACAAATATGAAGACGTTCAACTTTTAACATCCATGACTTAAACACTTTATCCAGGATCAAAGCCACATAGCTGCACCTGCAAGGTGAATAAAGAACAGCTGGTAAAAAAAAAACTACCAAGTGTTTGAATGCGTTCATTAACAATTTTATGATATCACTGCCTGTCTACTCACAGACTCTCTTCAGGTCTACTCACAGACTCTCTTCAGGTCTACTCACAGACTCTCTTCAGGTCTACTCACAGACTCTCTTCAGGTCTACTCACAGACTCTCTTCAGGTCTACTCACAGACTCTCTTCAGGTCTACTCACAGACTCTCTTCAGGTGAGGAGGAAACTCTGCTCATCTCTTACTCTTCTGTCCTGAGTCTGCCTGCATCTGATCTGAGGACGCCTTCACACCCTCAGAAATTCAGAGAGTAAAAACACGTCAGAGTCACGTGGAAAACGCCCTTACAGGATGTGTTGAGTTTTTCCCTTCCCCTTTCATTCGACAGCGAATGAGAGAGTCCGTGAGGAGGAGCTGCACACCTCCCCCAAGTGTTCTTACTGGCTGGATTCACATCTGGTCGGGTTCTATAGTTCTGACCGGAACATGAAATTCCAACGTTTCACCAGGTCAAAAGTCAACCCTTATCTTCGCCCAATCTAAATAACATTCCCTTCCTATGGGGGTTTTTTCACATAAATTATCCCCTCTCCGACATTTTAACGTGTGTGCACATAACAAAATGTCTTTAACGACCTTAAAAACAATATCTGGTGTAGAGGAGAGGATATGTGTGTGTGTGAGACAGGTTCCCTGGGTCAGTGAGTTGTAAGAGAGAATATCATTTCTCTATATGTGATTACTTAAAACAGTTCAAAATAATACATGTTTACTTCAATACAGTTTATAATCATATCTTTTTACTTCAATCCCTCTTTTGATCTCACCTCACGAGATCAACATATAGCATTTGAAACATTACCACTGACATTATTTTCCTTACTGTGTCTGTCCCAACATTTATATAAACCCATCAGAAGCTGGGATATAGAGCACTTTAAACCTTTAGGAACAGTCCACAACAACAACCACATGTCACCACAATGGCAAAAAAAGTAGCCACAGAAATTAGAAAAGACATTATAAAATGTTTCCCTCTTTTGGTAACGCATAGTTCTGTAGAATAAAAAATACAAATCCCTTAAATTATGGGATATAAAAAAAAAGTTGAAAGTTCCTCCAAAAAATGGATTGTTCAGACAAAGTTCCACACCGGCCATATCAACCTGTTTCAGCGGGAAATGGAGTTCTCTGTGCCGTCTTGGTTTGCTGATGTCTTCGTCCCCCCAGCCCACTGACGGCGGCTTCTGAGTTGCGAGATGTGTCCGGATTGTCCTCCCCGGCCCGCTGATGGCGGCTTCCAGGTCGACTGCTGGAGAGATGTCCTCCCGATGTCGTCTAGGGTCCTCGCGACGAGGGCCAAATCTGTCCTGATGTCGTCTAGGGTCATAGCAGGTGTTTTTCCCGACTGCACACTGGCTCCAGTGGTACCAGTTGTCTCCCTTTCCATCTAGGCGGACGGCATGGGAGGTCCTTTTGGGTCACTCGGTAGGGACCGGAAAACCTGGGGTTGAGTCACTTAGGCCTGATGACTTTCAGCCTTACGAACTCTGCTGTGTTGGCTTCGTGTTTCTCGGGTCCCTCTTTGGCGTCAGCAACCTGTGAGGAGAAGTCTCATACCAAGCCCTTAAGTTGCTGGAAATATGGTTTTGAACTCATCTCTTCTACTTCTTTAGTGTTTATTGGCGGCACCAACTAGACTGGAGTGTGGACAAGAGACTATGCAGAAAACAATAAACTAAAAATTAAAAAATTAAAACAAAAATAAAAACAAAAAAGGAACAAACAAACCAAACAAAAAATAACCAAAGCTAGATTATTTTAAATGTATCAATTTCTCTTAAAAGCAACAAACAAAACAAAACAAAAAATAATCACAGCTAGTATTTTAAATTGATAAATTCTTCTTAAAAACGTAATAATCTCACATACATATTGTCTGATGTATATCCTATCCCCCCTTTTTCTGAAATAGAACGCCGTTAACGGTGTACTTCTTTTCAGAAATATCGAGCCTTATACATCAGTTATCAAATATCATATATATACTATATTATTATTACTTATATATCAGGCATTAAATGTCAGCCTTCTTCCATGATTGACCTCGTTTATATTATCTGACTTATGTTGATACGTGTTCGTTTGTATTTATTTAATATACTGGGCAATTATTGTTTAATTCTAAATGTCCAATACGTAATTTTTCCAGAATGTTGTAGCACTCCCTGTTCGCCACCAGAGGGCAGCAGCTGACCACGAATGAAGTTGTCCCCACTGACTGGTACAACAACTCTGTCTCCACTGGTGTCAATTATGCTTTTATTTCAATTATTACACAGATTTGACTTAAAAAATCACACAGAGCTTATTCCCTTATACAGTCTGTTTGGCTTTTTGTACGATGTTTATTACAACAGATAATTGCGGTTTTTAAGCGCACTTCGACACCCCTCTTTTAGAGATGTGACGCTTACAAGGAGTTTAATCTCAAACCACAAAAAATCCTTTATCGTCACATTCAGCCTTCCAGACTATGATTCCGTACTATCTGAATCCTATCTCTGTGTACAGTATGTACTGTGTACAGAGTGGTGTTCTTAAATGATGTTTGCAGTTTTACATATATTTATATAAATTCAGGCAAATTTTTATTGTGCGATGTATATTTCAACAGATAGCGTGACTTCCAGAAGCAAGCTTCTACAATCTCCACTCGGTGATTGCGGCTTCAGGCAAGGAGTTTAAACTCAGTCAACAAAATCTCTTTATCGTCACGTTTAATGAGCCTGATTAACCCCACAGCAAGAGTTTTGATGAGATTCGGTCGTTCCAAATAATTAGTTGGAGGTCGCGTCTCTCTCCTCCTCTATCACCCACCATATAACAATTACAGCCATTTTATACATTTAAAGCACCACGAAAGGTAACCGCATTAATCAATCTTATCATGATCTGCGGGGAATTTAACCCATCTGTTTTTTACACCTCCACAGCCTTTAATAGAAGCACTGCAAGCCAACCGTATTAATCAATGTTATTTTGACTTACGGGGAATTTACCCCATACATCTTTTACAGCTTTGCAGCGTTCGTTTCTAGTGAGTTGTAGGACGGGACTGAACTACCCGCCTCTTACAAGCACTTTTGTGCCTTAGGTACAGGACTGAACTACCCGACTCTAAGCACTATTAATCTAATTCAACTAGAATATGTATTGTATTTCCCACCGTGACTAAGAACACTGAGAACGCTGCTGACAACTCTAAATTCTTTAGTATAATCAATCACAGATTTTTGATAGTCAAAACAGGTGTCTGCTCACCTTTTGTATATTGCCATGGTCTTAGTTGTCACCAGTATCTCTGTGTCCTCCCCCTGGACTGGATTCCGTCCCCTGGCTATCGGTGTCCCTTTCTTAGAGATAAGCGCTCATCACGTCGGGGTCACCACTTGTTGGAGCAGAATACCTATCTGCTACGCGCCGTTCGTTTGATGAGGCTGAAATCTCTATTAAA